CTGGCTATAATCAACAGAAGCTAATTTCAAATAATTTAGATGCCTTTTCTGTGTCAGATTTTGTAAAGACAGATTTCAATAATCAAGAGAAGGCTTTTAGGGGTGTTCTGATTCGATACAAAAAAAAAAAAAAAAAGATATTTGAACAACTCAGCCTGGATCTAAAAATCCCAGATAGATTGCTGATAGAAGCAGTGACATTACTTGATCACTTGATCATGCCTTTTCAAACATTCTACACTATAAAAGGGAGTAATATCAGATAATTATAGGTATGGGTCAATACTCAAAGCTGCAATGTCTGCATCATACTGGCAATAGCTTCTCCGGGACATCCTCAATAGCTATCAGTACAGGGTCACATTTAGCTAGAGAATATAAAGTAAATTTAAGTTACAGTAAAAGGATATTTGTAATTTTAATAATTTCTACAAAATTGTAGGGCAAATTTTGTCACAAGATTCACAAAATGCATTAAGATTTTTGGTCTGAAGTGTTTTAAAATCATATTGAATCTGATTAGAAACGTTTTCCTAAAAAAATATCCCTAACATAGGGTTTAATTTGCAGAATGTAATTTAAAATAGTTTATAGCCACTTTTTCTTTTTCAGCTCTATGTGGCACGAGGGCATCGAGATATGCTAATAAAAAATAATAGCCTCTAATATATGCAAGGAAAAAGCAGACATCTACCTACAGACCTCCTTTGTAGGTGCATTGTCTGCCGCCCATTAAATGCCCTTTGTTCTACCCTTGGTCTCTCACTCACAAACAAAAAACACAGATGTCTGCAGCACACACCAATAACCCTCCCTGCACACTGGCTGAATTTAAAATGCATGAAAGACCGTGTTCAGCAGAGAATCAGCCAGAAGGATGAGGTACGGATTAGCTTGTCGAAGAAGGGTATTGCTTTTCAGCCGGATGAGTGGTGCAATACACACCTAAACAGTTGAAAAAGCTACACACCGACACACAGGCCGTGTAACGTTCATGGCTGTTACTAAGCAACAGGGCATTAACTGGGCTTTCCTATTTAGACCAAAACATGGTTGTTTAACAAAAATGGTGCTCATTACAAGAAATTATATTTCATTTTCTACAACTTAACCCAAGTTGATTACAACAAATACTAAAATATCACCTCTCACTGAGCTCTGGAGTAGTTTTGAAAACCAGATAATACTTAATTTAAAAAAAAACATGCTTGAATAAAGACACAAATAAGAGGGCAAAATGGAAACCTTAACATATTTATATAATAAAATAAGTATAATATAAATATATATTGCTCAAACCATAACACACAAGGGCAGAATCTTACAATTACTGAAACCAATACATTTAAACGTCAGCAGTATCGTGTCTCACCAGGTCCGTTTCCATTAAGCTGAGTGAAGTTGTCCAGCATGTATGTGAAGAAACTGGACAGCTAGAGAATTTAAGACAAAAAGCACACATGATGTCATGGACACATGGCGACCTCTAAAAGAGCAGCAGTTAGAAATGTCTGCAACACAAAAACCTGTAGCTGGTCCTGTTCTCCAGCGTACTCGATGGACTGGAAAATGTTCCAGGTGTACCTCCGCCTTATCTCCAGTCTGGCCATGTAGCGCCGGTACCACCGCTGAATTAAAACAGCTGCCTTCATTGCTGCAGTAAAAAATCATTTTATCACTTTATTGACTGAGAAGTGAAATAACATGTTGCAGATGTTATATATTGTTTCACTAAAGTATGTGATCTTCAAGTGTTTTTAACATTTATATTATAAAGGGACTATATAAATTAACACAATAGGTATTAAATTCCAACCCTAGACCCTGTGCTTTGCAAAAACAATGATGAAATCCTCTTAAACTTTTTTGGTCACATATAGAGATTAAACTGTAATGTATTTTATCATAATTACATATTATAGGCAGAGGTGAAAGGAAAATTAAACATGGTTTCAATAATAAGTAAATATATAAATCTGTAAGTCTTGACAAGATCGTTAACTAGAATATTTACTAAGATGTCTCTCTGCTGCAGCACGATTTATATTTTAAAAAATTACTTTATGATCTCACAATAGAGAAAATGCATTTACCCCATCCGTTTGGGGAGCAGTGGGGAGCACTGTGCAGCGCCCAGGGAGCAGTCTGGGGTTAACGTTCTTGCTCAGAGACCCAGAGTGGCAGTCTGTGGGAGTGGGTTTCAAACTCACAACCTCAGGATTCCAAGCTCTATGCTCTAACCACTGGGCCGCTACACCCACATAAATGGGAGTGGAGTCATTCAATCATTGAAATGATTGAATGACCCCTCTGTAACCATAAAGTGCTGAAAGAAGCCTGTTAACCATTCATAAAAAAAAGTCAAGTGTGTCGCAGCACAACTGAAAACACAAACAAAAGTGACACTTAAAAACCAGAATTGAGAATTACTGATTAAAACCATTTTATTGAAGTCCAGACTGATTAGGACCATTGTCCTGCTGAACAACAAACCTGAGTTCATGTCTGAGGTCTTCCCAGCCTCTAAAATCTTTTACATATTGTCCTATTTTTTAGTGTTGCACCGATACCGATACCAGTATCGGACGGGGCCCCGATACTGCCCTAAAATGATGGTATCGGTATCGGCGAGTACCAACAAATAGGGCACCAATACCATTTTGAGAGCCATAAGTTTATTCAACTATTGTCACCCACTCCTGGTAGGCAATAAAAAGTTCTACTGGATTCACTTTGTATTAGATTTTTTCCTGCTTCACAAAGGTAGGTAAGCTTGACAAAGCCATGATGGCAATAAATCTGCATTATTATGGTATCGGTATCGGCCGATACTGCACAGCCAGGTATCGGGTATCCGTATCGGGGCCAAAAAATGGCATCGGCGCAACACTACTATTTTTATCTCCATACGTTTTGACCATTACATCTGATTAGTTTTTTCTGTTTTTGCAGATAAGATCCCCAGAGCATAACACTCCCACCACCGTGCCCCTGTGTAGAATGAAACCATGTAATATTTTCCTTCTCCTTGCAACTTTGTATTTATCTTTGAAATAAAAACAGATAAACACAAAGAAAGAGTGCAAGGTTCAATATGTATGCATTTACATATAAAGGTGCACAGTCCGCAAAGAATCAGGGCTAAAAAGAATCTTACTCAGAGCCGGGCTGGGACTTTTCACGGCTTCATCTGTGAGAGAAAATACAGCAAGAGAAGCTGGTAATTGAATAAAATCATGAGCAATCACAGACACACATGAAGACTCACAGACAGACAAACAAAATGGGAACGATAACAAGACACAAGGGAGGTCACGGGCAACAGTGGGACTGGAAAAAAAATCGGAACAAATTAAACAATCTTTTGGGAGTAACAACACTCATTAAACAAGACAAGCTGTGAAGACAAGTCAGGAACACAAAGCAATGACAATGATGAGCAAAATACACTGAGTTAATAACTAAATAAAATGCTGTTTATAAGGTTAAACAGAAAAAAACCCCAATAAAAATCCATAGGTAAGGAAGAAATTTAGTTTTTTTGTTTTATTCCAAAAGACAACAAATGGATATAGTGTATCAATAACCTATCAAAAATAACTGTGCTGGACCATCTTTACATAATGTTGTTTAACAACACTCTATAATATTCTACATGGCTTTTAGTGTCCATTTTTAACATGCAACTTGTATTCATTCATTCTTAAGTTCATAATTTCACTTGAAATGCTTAATTAAATTATATGCATTTACTCACACCAAAATCTTTTACCTATCATTGTTGTAAAACAATTCCCTTCCTGGAATTGATCCAATTTCCTGTCATGAAATGTTTTATCGCTACCCTTTCTCCCTGAAATTGCCTAGAAGACTAATTTTTGTCTTTATGAGAAGAATTCAGGAAAAGTCTGCATGGCTGATGTATTCAATCAGCTTCATTTTACTTTACAAGATCCATGTTATTTCTAAGGGTTTTTTTTTTTTCCCTGTGTCTTTAATGCAAATATAAAAACAAAATGTTGATTTTGTTTTATTAGTTTAGATAGAAACTTTAGCAGGTTAAAGTTCATGTCCACATGGTCAATCAGTTCTGTGTTTAGTACTTTACTTGCATCCTGTGTGTAATTTCTTTATTGCAACCAAACCAAACTTTAGTTTTTAAATATGCTCTTCTTTCATGATGGACCAATTCATACTGGCTTGTTCAACTTTTTATTTTTTATTTTTTTGCCCACACTGAACACAAAAAGACAAGATATGAAATACAATTTTACCCGTTTCTGGTGTCTCTCTATGTGTTACAGCGGTAGCAGAGGTGCCACATCCCATGATGGTCAGCAGGAAGGTCCCAGGGTCACATATTCACTTCTTCCAAGCATAAAGGGGTTATATATACTTTGGATGGCAGCATCTAACCAAGGACATTATTAACTCAGACTTTTTCACCTTTTTCATCCTATGTAAAAAGCCTGCCAAAATCTGTTGCATAATATTAACTGTATTTGGTTAAAAAAGGTACGGAAGAAGATAAGGGTCACTGAAAAAAATTGTTAAAAATTTAACTGATTTTAAAATTTTATTTCAGTATGAGAAAAACGTTTTCTCAGAATTCTGACTTTTTTCTCAGAATTTCGACTTTAATCTCAGAATTCTGACAGCTAACAAACATGTTAGCATCAAGCTGTTGCCATGTCTGTTTAAGACTAAACCAGCTCTCTTTCCCTTCCTATCCCCTTCTGCCCTTCCATTAATTAAATAGCATTTTTGTGTTAATTAGCATCACGTAAAAAGTCGCCTAATTCCAACATTTTCCACCAATGTGTTACTGGCCCTCCCAAACAACTCACATCTTTGTCAGTGAAGCTGAGTGCTCCAACATCTCTTCCTTCATGGTGCCAATCTACATTAAGATCCAAAATTATGAGATTAAAGTCAGAATTCTGAGAAAAAAAAGTCAGAATTCTGAGATTAAAGAAAGAATTCTGAGGAAAAAAAGTCACAATTCTGAGAAAAAAGTCACAATTCTGGGATTAAAGTCAATTCTGAGATAAAAGACAGAATTGTGAGAAAAAAAGTCAATTCTGACAAAAAAGTCACAATTCTGAGATTAAAGTCACAATTCTGACTTTATTCTTATATTATACTAAAATAACATTTTAAAATCAGTTAACTTTTCAGTGGCCTTAATCATCTTCCGTAAAAAGGGGATAGAAATGTTTACTTTTTTCTTACTGGGCCACATCTTTACAAAATCTTGGCAACGCCTCAGATTTACGGATGAAATTAAGCGTGTAAATAATCGACGCTTGGTACGCTTCAGAAAAAGACAACAGAAAAGGTCTCTACGGAAATATTTGCATATCACTTCTTTGATTTTATACAACCTCGTTTCGCTTCCAGTTGTTGAGTTCATTTAATCTTACCATAAGCTTAAATCCTCTTGATCCTCTACGATGGGAGCGCATCATTTCATGCGTAAAAATAATGCGCGTCTAGTCTACATGAGAAAGTCCAGTTATCGGTCTTCTTCAAATTTTGGGGTTGCATGTTCAGATGAAATAAAACATTTTCCAGGAGTCGCTGCGGATTAAAAAGGAGGTGCGGTCTGCATGGCCAGAGCTCAGGGCTGGAGGATGAGGCGGAAACAGCAGCAGGTTTTAACAATAAAAGCTCCTCATGTTGCTCCATATTTTAAAGGCATTGAACTCGCAAATCTGGGTCAAAATAACCTTAATTATTGCACTTAATGGAGAGCAGTTTCATCCAAATTAAAAACATGATAAATCAATGAATGTTGCTATGGTTATAAAACCTAAGTTTGACTTAAACTAAAATGACAAAAAATAAAGCAGATAAATGTTTAACCTAACCTAAATTAATCAGAGATTAAAGATTTAATTACCTTTGAGTTAAGCTATGTAATACAGATAAGGGCAATGGTTTATTAGATTTGTTTGACACTGTACTCTCAAATCAGTGTGAAATATAAATGAACAATTTATGCTGCATAATTTAAAGGAATGCAATGAGATTGGTATATTGATAATCATGTTACTGTTTAAATGTTAAGTTAATATTTTTCTGATTCTGGAGCTATATCAGCTGGACTGCTCCAATAATCATTTATAGATGTTTGCGTGTAGTCCTGCTCCTCCATCCTCCAACTTTGGAACTCACCTGCCTGTGTGTTTTTCCTGGGCACGGCCACCTGTGGAGCTAGTCAAGTTACCCTTTGCATATCTGCTTCCATGCCCTCAAACCCAGAGGGCTGCTCATACCTAGTCTGGTTGTACTAGAGTTTTCTACCTGTTAAAGGTAGAAACTTTTTCCTTCTCCACTGCCATGACATGCATGCTCGGTGTGAAAGATTACAAGTCTCATTCGTCTCTCCAGATCAGGGGTTTCCCCTCAAAGTTGCAAATTAACGTCACCCACTGTTTTCAGGGCACGGCCTAGACAACCAGTTTATGAAATGACATGCAAATAAAAAGGTCACTGGTCAAATTAGGGAGGGAGCAGAAAAAGTTTCTCATGTTCTTATTCATTGCATTATTTAACACATTCTCCAATGGGTTAAGCCCATTCCACAGATCTTGCTAAAAAGATTGGACTGTACATTTTGACAACTCAGGTTTCTTTGCATCCTTCATAGTTCCACATCTACCTCAGATCTTTTACAAAATTAGCATTACAAACATTTCTAGGATTAGCTTGAAAGATAAAGTGGAAGTAGAGTTTATTTCAAAACCCCTGCATTTTTGTTCAAAACAATTCACAACCGAAGTTAGTTGGCACAATTGCAAAGATCCTGAGTTCCCCAACTTGTCATGAGGGCCGTTATCTTGCTGCCTTTAACACACCCAAATAGAAATGGTTGCTCATTACCAGCCCTCTGCAGAGAAACAACTTCAGCCATTTGATTCATGGATGTTGAAGAGATGGATCTACAGTAAGAGTAACAAGATAACTCACCCCAGTACTAGTCATACAGCCAGATACTGTAAGGTCACATTTTGTGCTAAATGATTTGTCATAGATTTAGTTGATCTGCCTAAACATACACAATCCTCACTTATTTGCACTCTAGTTGGCAACAATTTGGACCATTATTTTAAAAGTTGATGCATCACATACCTGAATGGCAAGGCGGAAGCAGTAATTTAAAATACTTTTATTAATACATTTAAAACAGGGATTAGAGAGAGTCCAGTCCTTCATGCAGCGGCTCTTGAATGAATCCTCCTTTGTACAAGTGTTACAGCAGCATCAATCTCCTGCGAAGTGACGATTCCTAGTCTGTTCCTCTTTGACAGCCGAAACGCCTCTGAGCTCACCAGTCTAAGCAGTAGTGGTCTGGGGAACCGAAGCTGCCGACTGGCCAGGAAATCTAGATACTTTGCCCCTGCAGGATGAGTCTTTTGGGGGGGAAATGTGTGAAAGACAAAAAGTTCAACAACAAAAAAAAGTTAGCCTGAGGAGTTTAAAAAAATGGTCTGTAAATGTAAAAACAGAAAAAAAAAAACTGACCTCTTTATGCATTTTGTAGATGAAATTCGAGTAAACCCGGACCCTCTTTTTTTCTGCAGGAATCCTGTGAGCTGTTCTAACAGGTGCCTTCATTTTACTCTCTTCAGTTAAAAAAAGAAAAGGTCTCAGACTAAAAGAAAACAAAGGAATTGGCAGTGCCCTTTTATGCAGCTATGACTGCGCTGGTGCTCTAAAGGAGGTTTTTAATCAACACAAATTGACTACAGCTTTGCTTAATCAGCTTCAATTACTTTTACCTACCTGGCTGTAAAGCCCACAGTGGGGGGTTAAGGTGCTCAGCAGGATAGAAAAACTGGCTCAAATAAAAACAGAAAAATGTGATCACATTGTTTAGAGCTTAGTTTGGCTTTATGATAGAATATATATATATATATATATATATATATATATATATATATATATATATATATATATATATATATATATATATATATTGTTTGTGTGTCTTTATGATTGTTAATACAGACAGTGATCTGCCAATCACAGAACAGCAAGTCAATGCATTAAGGCATGTATATTTGAAGAAGGCACATCATAGAGTTCATCCTGACCCTCCAGCCCTGTTTACTCTCTCTTTCCAACCAACAAATGCCACATACACATACACACATTTCATTGTTTTATTTCAATGCTCGTTTCTTCCATGTGTTTGTTGGATTTCTGAACTGACCCTTCCAACTTCCCAATAACTTCTAGGGATTTTTAAGCCACTGATGGCCCTAATGGTGGTATGTTTCCAGCTGTAGGAGGGGCTTTATCAGATAAGGATGGCATTAGGTGAGGCCATTAGCATCCCGTGGATTACTGTAATCCACTCTCTTGTCCCGCTGCTCACTCATTTGTGGGTCCAGTCTGGTGTGGAAGCAGGTTGGAAGATGGCGCTCAACATGCGGGGTTCTTTGATGGCTCTGCTTCTTCTAGGAACTGACGGTACGTTTCAGTAACATCTAGTCAATGTTTTCTCAGCTTCTGAGCTCACAACTTACACCTAAAGTTTTAGACCCTTAATTCAAGACTTTTTTCGAATGGTTTGAAAGTTTCATTTCTATTTTTAGTTTATTTGCTTTGTTTCAATTTTCTAATTCCAGTTTGTTTAACGGATTTTCTATAACTTGAGAAGACATTTGTCAATTTCCTTAACATGTTTTTGTTCTTTGTTTCCATCTGTCTCCTCTGCTCTTTTTTCTGACCATCTGGTTGGACAGTGCTCATCAGTATTCATGCTCAAGAGGTAATGAAACCCCTCAGCTCTACAAAAATATTAAAAATTATATCATTGCAAAAATTTTCAAGTGTACCAAATAGTTTTTTACCTTATAAATATTTAAAAAAAACCTTGATTGTTATGTTTTTAAAATGTAGTTGCTTTTGTTTCATACATATCCTTAAACCAGACCAGTTTTTCCGAGGCATCGACCAGCAAGTCCTGCAAATGTGGCTGTGATGGAGGCGAATCTCCAACAGAGTTTTCCATCATGGGGTCTGGCTCTATGGTGAGAGGAGTGGATTGCATGCCAGGTAATTATCTCAGTATAGATCATCATATATCTATTCTCCTTTCTGTAACGCAGTCTAATTCTTTCTTTAAAAAAGTAAAATTTTTAGTTAAGATGGACTCTAGCTTGTTTTATGAAAGCTAATAGTGGATTTTTTTCAAAAGGGGCACAAGATGTTATTTTTATGCCAAATTGGGCAAACCAGGAAAAACTCAGGCTTAGTTTTTAATCAAACCTGGATGACCAGATTCAGCTTTTCCAAAACAGAAACTATTCACAATGATGCCGTTTATTACTCTTAAAGCAATTATCTGCTATTAAAAAGAACGTCAAGGTGTAATCTTCTGAAAATTGAACTTTTGTGTTGAAAGTGGGCAAAAATTCAGCATTAAAACCTCAGATTTCCACAAATGAATCAATATATTTGTTCACATGCAAGCTCTGACATTTAGAGAGACAATCAGTTGGGCAGGACAGCATTAGAGTCCAGATTTGACACCACGGGGTGGACATGCTTCACTGAGTATCCTCTGAGACGATGATTTAGACGGAGCCTTGAACAGAAGAGAGGAGAATGAACAGGAAAAACAGTCATAAGAGTATCCCATGAGATCTTGATCTAAGGTTCAACTTCAGATTAAATCCAGGTGAAGTCGGTTTCAGCTCCTATGCAAATTTTCAGACACCAGGGAAGAACCCTAGTAATGACAGCCACAATGACCCTGATCAGTTTTAAATCCTGCCAGAATCGTAGAAGAGATGAACGATAATTACAAATAATACAAGTGAATAACCGAGTGTCATCTAAGCTTCAAATAGCATGCAAACGGGTGACAGACTAAAGACACATAAGTTCAGCAGATTATCATTACTTCAGACGATGAACCAACTCCTATCACACGAACCCGTTATTAGTAAACCAAGGACTTGGCGTTGATGAATGACGAGCCTGAAGTCGATATTTTGCTCCAACCCGTTTCTCACCTACAGGCGCTTCTATTATTGTAACCATCTGAACATCCAGAATTTAGCAAAGGAGGATGACAGAGAAATTTGTATTATTGTTATGCAAATGCTTATCCCCTGACTCACTCAGAAGCGGCTGTTAACGTTGTAATGCTGGGATTACAATAGATGGATCCCTTCCCAGGACCTTCCAGGACGGTCTAAAAACAAAAGTAAACAGAGAAGCAGGCAGATACTTTCACCACAGGTCTTGTTTATATATACCAGCAGTCCATTTTCACCTCCATCTTTTAACCCACTGATCTATTTTTTGTGAATTTCCTTCATCCAGCTTTTAGAGAATGGAAACCCCATGCAGTAATATGGGAGCAAAATAGAGCCCTGGAGAGTGGATTGCCATCTGTTTGCCTGACGTCCTAATGGACATCACTGATCTTTGTCTGTGAAAATGATAATCTGTTGGCTTTTAGGTTGAAATATAGTATTATAGTACTGAATTTCCTTTTGGGGATTAATAAAGTAATATTGAATTGAATTGAACTGAATTGAATATGGGTCATATTGAGGCTTCAAACAGTCGGGGGGCCTTTGGTGCTAAAGACTGTTAGGATATCAGCAGGGGTTAGGGCAAAATGGAGGGGATAGAGACTAAAAATCCAAAGAGGCTTTTATGATGACCATTTGCTGCTCAGATTTCAATGGCTTGTGTTCATTTTCTCTTTATGTTGGGTTTAAATTTTAAGATACATCATTTCACTCCAGGGAGGTCTTTTAGGACAAATGGATAAAATGAAAGACAAGATTGAATAGTGAACCTGACTTTACCCACAGAGTGTCCGTATCATCGGCCTCTGGGATTTGAGGCAGGATCTGTGAGTGCAGACCAAGTCACCTGCTCCAACCAGGATCAGTACACCGGCTGGTTCTCCTCATGGCTCCCAAGCAATGCCAGGCTCAACAGCCAAGGTTTCGGGTAGGTCAAAATAACCACGTTAAAATTTTAAGATTTGTTTTATCTAACATAAACAGTACAAACCTGCAGATTGTAATTATAAAAAGGCTTTTTGGATTTACTCAGGCTATTTGATTGTGTTTATATGGGGATAAATAAATACATTTCACATCACCTGTAGCTGCCTTGATCATCCCTAGAAGAGCATTTACTAATATAATAATGAGGACAGGTTAGCAGGCTCAAAGCTTTCAGATGGCTGCCCGACAGAAACTTCTGTAAAGCCACCTGCTGCCTCTTCTTTTGTTCTCTTTCTATGTTTTTTCCACACCTGAAAGCATCTTCAATATTAAACCCGCTCCTTCTTACTAGCTAACTATCCCGCTTAGTCCTGACTCCGTCCTTACTTCCCATCATCCGGAACTGACCGTGATGTTATTTATTGTTTTGTCCCTCTCTCTGGGCCCCCCACGCCAATCTGGCCCTAAGAACATGCCTAGTTTGCCTTTGCATTAATCCGGGTCAGACTGATAGTGAAACTGTTGATATTAAGAATCTGATATAAATGCTGATGAAGATAGTCAGTCATCCAGGTCATAGTCGTTCCAATAAAATAAAGGTACGAACCACTGGACTTTGTTTTCCAAACTTGGAAAACAAAGTCCAGTGGTTTGTTTTTAACTTTTTCTTCTTTTTATCTGATGCAAAGTTCCACAAAATTTCTTCCCCTTTCTTTACCATATTGTGTTATTAATATATATATATATATACAATAGCATTTGAACAGCTTTTCTTTTTTTGTCTACTGAAAACAAAAGGATCAAAAACAGAAGGTTACCATTGGATAATTACATATAGTTGGAGGTTATGAAATTGAAAGGTGCAGAAACAACAGAAAACCTCAAAATCACATATATCATATATTCACATATATGAGGTATCTCTGTTTAACTTAGTTTAGTAAACGCATCATTAGACTTTGTAGGGAGCCCCAATGGTTTAGTAGTTTACATCTCTGACCTGGGTTTGAATCCTGGTTGTTTTAGGAAGTGCTTTCGGTGTAAAAAGGTGCCATCTCTGTGAGCAAGTCAACGGAAGTAGCTGAAAGGACACAAACACATCATTAGACATGGTGCAGTTTAGCTTTGTTATTATTAAGCTCATAGCATCTATCATGGCATCTATCACATGAGAGCATGACAGTTATAGTTTTTTTGGATTTTTGTTTTCCAAAAGTCATATTTCTGTTTCTCTTCCAAGGTGTGCATGGCTTTCCAAATTCCAGGACAACAGTCAGTGGCTCCAGATCGACCTGCAGGAGGTGATGGTTGTCTCAGGCATCCTCTCCCAGGGCCGCTGTGATGCTGACGAGTGGGTCACCAAGTACAGTGTTCAGTACCGCACAGACGAGAAGCTCAACTGGATTTATTACAAAGATCAAACTGGAAACAACAGGGTCAGTGGAGCTCAACAAGGGGCCGGTGGGAAGTCTAAGCAACATCTGTGTGATAATCAAACTAAAAGTTCATGTTTTAGGGAAACAGTTTGGGGAAAAAAATGACATTCGTCACTATTTGAAATGTGACAGAATAGAAAATTAAGATAATCTCTTATAGTTGTAAATATTTCTAAAACATAAAATAGCAGGTGACAAACTCACTATTTCCAGTGAGTATTTTATAAAATTTTAAACATTTCTGCAACAATTCAATTCTGAATTTATTATTTTAAGTTTACAACTCTCAAAAATCAAATACAGCTACATTTGAATTAACATTACCTTACCCTCCAGCTGTATTTAGATTTATAGTGAGATTTTGTTTGACGACATCTTTAAATCTGAGAGAAAACCTCTCAAGGAAGCTTAAGATTAGGGTAATGGTAGAGAGGACTTCCAGCCGCAGAGCTGGAACTCATCACTGATGCAAACTCCTCAAACTACCTGCGGAGATATTTAGCAGCTAGAAGAAGCGTGTCATTGCTGCAAAATTAAGAAAAGATTAGGTCACAGATTATTGAGAATAATATAAACCATATTTGACACTACATTTTTACTCCTCCTTTAACATTGTTATATTATCTCTAAAAGATGCCAGAAAATTTAAACTTTTTGTTGACTTAGAAAAAGTTTTTATAAAAACCTGCTAGAAGTATTAGTAATTATATTCATTTATTTGTTATTTATTTAACTGTAAAAACAAACACATTAAGCAAAATAAAAAAAATAAAAAAAATCCTAAGCAGAGTATAAAAAGAGCTTACTACCAAACTCAGAAACATCCTTTTTCATATTCAGCTGTAATTATAATAGGAATAAAAGTTGTTTTAAAGAACTGTTTTTGATATTTTATAATCAATAATATTGACCTTAAAACAAAATATCATAATGCAAAAAGTTTTGAAAATGTAAATTCATCGTCAGAGTGTTGACACAAATGTGTATTCTGTTTTGCATCTTATGATTAATATAAGCTATCTACTCTTTTATAAATAGTTTAGGTTGGGATAATTTTTCTCAAATGAACAGCTAAATTACGATGGCTGGTCATACACTGCAAAACATCTAAAAATAAGTAGAAATTTCTTAAAATAAGTGTACTCACTTCTAATTTGAGTAGGTAAATAAGAGGATATGCCAATGGAATTTAATTAGGATAATTAGATATTATGTACTTGAAATTAAACAAGTTGTTTTTCTTGTGTCAAATGTAAATTGTCTTATTCCATTGGTATAGGTTCTCACTTTCCTGCTTAATTCAAGAAAAAAAATCTCTTTATTTTTAAAAAATTTGACTTAATTAGATTTCAGTTTTTTTGCAGTGTACCTGTGACAGTTTTGAGCTTTCTGACAAGCCATTAGCTTTCCATGGCTCAGAAGATGTATTATTATTTAGATATTTGATATGATATGACATCTCTCTATGAAAGCTAGGGAGGCTATAACTGATGGTAATGAGACCTTCACTTAAGAAAAAAGGAAGTATCCCTTTAATCACGGCATCTTCTGTTTTTCTTCAGGTTTTTTATGGAAACTCTGACCGCTCTTCATCCGTCCAGAACCTCCTGCGGCCACCCATTGTTGCACGTTACATCCGCATTCTCCCTCTGGGATGGCACACTCGCATTGCTCTGCGCCTGGAATTGCTGCTGTGCATGAAGAAATGCATGTGAACCCTGAAACCCTCTGAAGCATTGTCCCAAACCCTGTGTGGTGTTTGATCATGTATTCTTCCCCTGAATAGCAAATCGACCCAGAAATATTCACAACCCCGAGCGCTGTTACATCCAACATGCTTCCATGAAAACAGCTCTGTTTGATATGTATGATAAGCTTTCATTCAGCCCGCTCCACATTGTCTCCCACTGGGCCTCTATTTTCAAGAGTTCTCAATTGGTGGCTCAGTTTGCAGTGAAATGGCATAAATTCAAAGCAATAATTAGTGGTTGAGCAGAAGAGGCAGCGTTGCTATGAGCGCTTTGTTGCCACAGGTTTTTGCTGTTATGTGACAAGTTTTTCCAGCCTCACTGAACTAGACAGACATTACATTAAAAATTGACTCATATTATGATTTACATTTATAGGTGTCACATAAATGCAACAAACAATAGAACTATCTTTTTAACAACAACTTTTCTGAAGTTAGAGCCAGTCTGATGTTATTTTATTCCCTGTAAAAGTCAGAAGCAACAGGTATCCTCATGCATTGCTATTGTCTTTAATTAGAGACAGTTAATATGTTTTAAAAATAATTATGATCTTTCATATGTCACATGAATCTCAGGGTAGCAAATTTTTTTTTTGTTCTTTATTTTTTAACTCTTTTGTTTTTCATATTATTCTAAGAGGAATTTTCTAATACATGGGTCATACCAAGAACCCACTTTACTCCCTGTTTCACTTAGCAAAACTGCCTAGGATAGGAGGAGGGGGTGCAACACGTAACAATTATCAGTAGGAAACTATGTTCACTTTTGAATATTTGTAAAGAAGAAATGCAATAATTGTTTTGGAAGAGAGATCTTAGGTGTTAAAAAAAAGGTTATTTACAAAAACTGAATACGTCTTCAGATCAATTCTACACTTTAGCAATTGGTCTTTAAGCCTATTGCGCAACGGCCACAATCTTTTTCCAAAATGAGTTCCATCAACTCAAATATGTTAACTGCCACTGCTTCCCGCTACGGATATAGTAATATTCATGATTTAAACTATATTTTATTACTATATATTTGAAAAGCAATACTAAAAAACGGTATCATTTGTCTGAATTTCCTATTAATCCCTATTAAGACTTTGTATGCAAACAGAAACATGTTATGGATCTATATATTTCAAAAAAACTGGGGTGCTTTCTCTTTAAAAACCTGTTTTTCTTTGTTTTTTAGGTGTTTCCTTTGTATAGTTCAGCTAGTTTCAGTACTGTCATGTCATGTTTTGGATGAAAAGTCTTCTTCCTTTAATTCACTGTGATATTCCAGTTGAGTGTATAATGGTGCTTTGAGATGAGCTGTTGAGTGGAAAATTTATTGTTTAACGTATCTTAAAATTTTTTCCTTGATCAAATCCTTACGAGTGTTTTGTGTGTTTTTATATTGAGGTCATGTTTGTGAAACAAAACATAGGAGTCATTAAAAAATGTACAGTTGGTATTTATTATGAGACCCTATGATATTTTAATTAGAATGATCAGTATAGATACGCTCTATTATTTATTTACACCCTGTCAAAGGTGGAAAATAGCGGATGGAAGAAAAAATAATCGAAAATGAAATATGTTTTATGAAACACATTCATATTTAGGGAACAAAAAGTCATCTTCCCATTTGTGAGCGACTTAATGACTGAAGCCTTTTTTTAGCAAAGCTGCTAATTTAGTGAGCTAAGTATAAGGCTTCGGGTCCCTGGAAAGGCAAGCTTTTTCATCCCTCTGTCTACCATGGATATAAACAAACCCACATCAGCAGTCATTTACAATCATTTGCATTAAGAGTTTGCCCTAATACACCACTTTATGGGGCAGTTTTACTCTGTTTACTTTAAGCCATGTTCAGGGTGAGACAGTGACATTGAGGTAAATACAGCAGAATGATATATAATGTTCTTCACCTCCTTTCCTCATAATACATAGGAAGTCCTCTGTGCTCTCATTTAATATCCATATGTGACCAAGCTACATTACTTTGACATTCTTCCTTGATGTCATTTCATTTAGTCAACCAAAGTCAAACGGTTCAAACTGAAGCTACTTTCTAGTCAACACCAACCTTGTTCTCTTCCATTGTTTAAAAAATGTTTTATGGTTTCTTAAACCATAAAGGAGGAAGGACTGAGAAATAACATATAAGACTGGTGGAAACATATCACCCTAACTACATCCTGGCCTAAAATAGAATTTTTTTTTTCATCATCGATGTCATAACTTGTTGTTTTTTAATAAACAATCAAGTTCATCCCTGATCATGACTGCTGATGTCAAAATTAATGTAAACAGGGGAATAAAAATTCAGATGTAAAAAAATTGTTTACAAAAGAGGCATTTACAAAAAGATGATGGCACAGGCTTTAAAATGCACACAGAGGATGTAAACATATATAATAGAATAAGTCTGGGATTAGTTTCTATAACCAGTGTTGGAATAAATCCAAAAAAACAACAGATATTTTATTCCTGACTGGAATACCCTAGTTGGGATTGAATCGTCTCAAATAAATATTTGTTAAAATAAAAATATTAAACTTTTCTTTTTTTTAGATGCAATTTCTTTCCTGCCATGATCCAGATGTCAAAACTATAATTATTTTGACTGTTAGCTATTTATGAAATAACTACTAAAATTAAATAATTTTAAGGATAAATTTAATTCAGATTAAATTCTGGATGTCTTGAATTAAATGTAGTTAAGTTTGTTTTGGTAATGGAGTTTTGACTCCTTAGACAACCATTGGATATGACTGCTTATATAAAACTAAACCCAAACTTATCCTGAAAGCTCTTCATAGCTTGAAGTGAGGTATGCCTTTTTGAACCAATCTCCAGAGTTGTACGTCCCGTGTTCTCAGTGTAGAGGTTAACATAAGCTTAGATGCTTATTGCATCATGGAAAGGTTGTAGCCAAACTGCAAATGGCAGAATAAAGCTGGAGCGATATTTGCTGATACAGAGAATTGGACTAAATTTATATATATATAAAAAAAGTGTGTTGGGTATTGTTAAAAAATTTGACTATAAATCATTGAAACAGAATTTTCCACCTTCGGTTTGATACAGAACAGGTGCAACTTCATCTGTTAGAGAGAAAAATATAAAAGGTCAGGCAGCTCGCATATGTAAAAGTTATCTCTGGGGGGTTATTACAATTTGCACATAGATGTGTGTTCAAGCTTATTTGTTTATTTTGTACGTCTCTGTATAGCCACTGTGATGCACTAGCAACTTAGGATATACCAGCAGTCTCTTGCCCAATGACTTTCAACATAGCCTCCAACCCATCTTTCCCTGAATGAATATGGTGATATTGGGAAAAATAAACAACGAAAGTATAAAATGACAATTAATAATTTGTTATTGGCTAAACTTGAGCTTTCAGTGCACAGTTTCATATGATATTTGTCATTAAAATGTCATTAAAATACCATATTCATAGTAAAAGAGGCTGTTGCTAGTATATTTGACGTACTTTTCTTCAGCTAGAACAAGGAGCTTAGCTCTGCCTTGCTTCCAGTTCCAAACACCAGTCAGATAAAGTGTTTTAAGCTTCAGTGTTTTCTAAAATAAACCCCAAAAATAACTAAAGAAATTTGAATTTGGATCTAAAATTCCAGCTTAACAGGAAAAGTAAGACTTCGTTAAAAATGACCTCGCAAATCTGTTGGAGCAGGTGTGACATCATTCAGAGAAGATTGTGGACAATTGATGCACCCCCCACATGATACCGTCTGCGATTTAGCATTCAGATATTAAAATATTACCATTTCAAGATGACATGTTGCCTTTGACTCTTACCAAAGGCAAACTTCTGGAAGGTGCATTAATTTAGAAGGAATCTAATTACACCAAAAATTAGAAAAACAGTTTTTGCAGCCTCTTCATTTTTCCCACTAACAGAGTATAATGCTTCTCCTTTAAACTGTTGATGGAAACCTCTATTAGACGACCATAGTACTTTTTTTTTCATGACACTATTCTTAAATGTAGGTGAAATAGCTTTACAATGACTTATTATGGCTAAAGATGGACTTTTCTTTTTATCTAGGGTGATTAAACCTTTGATCCTCTAATTCCAGTGTATTTATAGCACAAAGCCGAGCTGTCACCCTGGGATGATCTGCTGACAAACAATGCCTACAAAAATCTCTAATTATCCGACAACTTCATAACTAATGCCATGAAGGTGACAAACATTTCTGTCTTACATTTTGTGTCAGAGATGCGTAGCTTTTCAGTAGTATTTCTATGTTTTTTCTTTTTTACAATTCGATGAAATAACAAAAGTGGGTAAAAATAGGATAACAAAGTATGTTAACCTCATCATATTAAACATAAACAGACGTTCACCATTATTAAATATTCTTTTTGACAATATTATGAACACATAAATATCTATTGATTTCTCTGTGTCGAAACTAAAGCTCTTGCAATTACACATTTAATTCTATTTTTTTATATATAATATTCCCATATCACCTACATACTGTGTCATTTATAGCTTATATCCGTGAATTTAAAACAAATAAATATTTAATAAATAATATCGATATAAATATTTCTCTGTTTTTTTTTGTTATCAAATATCAGTGCTTGAAAAAAACCTTTGAGTTTAATGGCCACCCCTGCGACTGCATCATCTAAATTGTTGCAGTGGTGTCCAGTAAGCAGAAGATGGCAGCAGAGAGGCCACACAGGCAGTGTCTCCTTGACAGGAAAGTTCTGCTTGTTCTCATGTGAGCAGATAAAATGATGTGGGGCTGACATCCTGAGAAGGTGCGAGGACCTCCATGTCTTTACATCACCAAACTACACATCACTAATGCTTAGCCTGTCAGTGTCTGGTCTTTGCAGATTTCAACACATAAGTATATTTCTGATAGAGAACATGTGAGCTCCATTGTCTACTTTTACTATGGTACCGTTATGACAACGGCCAGGTTCCAAAGATAGTCACGTCAAAAAAGGGTGTTACAGGGCTGTCTCCTTTAGGTCGTTGAGATTTGGAATCCTGGTACGAGATGCCCGAGTAAAAGTAGGTCCGTTTTGACCTGGTTTGATGCCCAGTTGTTCTGGAGTGAACTGAGCGCCTTCCACTCGCTGTAAAGCTGACACGTGCCAGCTTGACTCGATCTGTCCTGGTAGGGTGTAGCTGGGCTTGCGGTTCTTTGCCTGGCCCGAGCTGCTCACCCCTGAATGCCCCCTGCTCTCTGTGTGCCCTCGACCATCTGGGTAGCCGGCTTTGGAGGAGGGCTGAGGTGGGTTGGGGAGGGGGGCTTGGAAGCGCAGGTCAGGAGGAGGTGGAGGAAGAGTCTGTCCTTGGTTTGACGGAGACGGGGACAGATGAAGGAGTCGACGAAGTGACTTAAGTGGCTGGCTCTGGTGATAAGAAAAAAGTTACAATAGACACTGTGATTTTAAAATGCTGATCAATAAATGTGTAAAAGAACAAACGAAAAACTTAACGTTATGAAATTATTTGAGAGATGATGCAGATTTTGTCTGTACATTTTGAGACAGTGTACATTAAAATATTTGCCTCTAACATGCATCTTGAGATCTGCAACAAA